CCCCCCCCCACCCCGAGAGCGGCGGCGCAGCGGGACCGGGACGTTGCCGGGCCCCGACGCCCCCCGGTTGTTCGGCGGGTCCGCCGGGCCCCCCCCCGCCCGCGCTGGCCCCCGGGATCCCCGGTGACGTCACGCGGCACCGGCCGGGCCGCGCTGCGCAGGGACCGGGGGCGGCACCGGGCGCGGGGGCGGCGGGGGGAGAAGGGGGTCCCGGTGCGGGGGGGGCTGTCCCGGTGCGGCCGCTGGGGAGCGGGGGGGGGATCCCCGCCCGGTGCGGGGCAAGGGGGGCCCGGTGCGGGGGATCCCCCCCCGGTGGCGCCTCCCGGGAGGGTGGGGGGGGGCCGGTCCGAGCCGGGGGGTCCCCGTCCAGCCCGACCGGTCTCGGGGGGTCCCGGTACAGATCCGGGGGTCCCCGTCCAGCCATCTCAGCCCCACGGGGGTCCCGGTGGGTCCCGGTGTCCCGCTCCCCGGGGCCCGTCCCGCTCGGTTCGTACCTGGGGGGGGCGGCGGGGGCGGCCGCTCCAGCCCCGGTGCCCGCCCGGCCCGGTGCGCTGCGGTGCCGGTGGCGGAGCCGGGCGGGGCGCAGGTGCTCCCGGCCCCGCGTGATGTCAGCGGCCGCCGCCGCCCCCTCCGCCACCGGGGACGCGCCGCCATTTAAAGGGACCGCGGCCCCTCCGTGCCGGGGGTGGGGGGAGGCGGCGGGGGGGGCACCCCCGCACCGGGACCGCGCCGCGGGACAACCCCCGCGACCCCCCGATCCTCCGTGGGGCTGAGCCCGGCCCGTCACCGGGGGCGGTCACCGACGGAGCGGGGGGTGGGGGGCGCTCCCGGTGCCCCCGGTGTGGGTGTCCCGCGGGCCCGCACCGGGAGGGCCGGGCCGGCCCCGGGGACCCCCGAGGACAAAGCGGCAGCTGCCGGGGCCGGGCCGGCTCTTTGTGCTGTGAAATGGTGGAGCTGGAACGGGGCGGGGTGGTGCTCGCGGGGGGGAGGAACGATGGGGTCAGGGACAGACAGATGGACACCGGGATGGGGACAGGCACGGGACCAGCATCTGTCACCTCCTGGGCTGTCCCCGCCGGGGACAGGTCTGAAGACCCCAGGGGAGAAGGGGGTCCCCCCCCTCCTGGTGACCCCACAGGGTAAGTGGGGGCTCTTCCCCCTCCTGGGGAACCCCAAGGCCGGGGGTCCCGGTGCTGCTGCAGCAGCTGAGCCCAGAACCCAACACGGGGTTGGGGGGCTCAGGGAACCCCAGCCTTGCCTTCCCCATGCAGGGGGCTCACAGGACCCCGACCCCTCCCGACCCCTCACACCAGGAGCCACAGCACACAGAGCCTGGGAACGTTTTCGCCAATGTTTTATTGGAAATGTTAAATACTGGGGGTCCGGCCCCAGCGGAGCCGGGGGGCAGGGGGGGTTCAGGGGGGCTCAGGCGTGTTCCTCTGCCAGCTTCTCTGCCTTGGCCACGGCCTCCTCGATGGGCCCCACCATGTAGAAGGCCTGCTCGGGCAGGTGGTCGTATTCACCTGGGGGGAGACACCGTGTCAGGGGGCAGCGGGGGGGCCCGACCAGGCTCTCCCCTAGTCCCCGGGGGGGCCACCTCACCTGCCAGGATCTGCTTGAAGCCCTTGATGGTCTCCTTCAGAGGCACCAACTTGCCCATGTGGCCGGTGAAGACCTCGGCCACCTGGAAGGGCTGGGACAGGAACCGCTGGATCTTGCGGGCACGGGCCACTGTCAGTTTGTCCTCCTCGGACAACTCGTCCATGCCCAGGATGGCAATGATGTCCTGCAGCGACTTGTAGTCCTGGGGGGGACACACAGGGGGGGTGAGCAGCCAGCACTGACCCCCCAGGACCCCACGGGGGGCTGCCCGTCCCCCCCTCCTCACCTGCAGGATCTTCTGCACGCCCCGGGCCACGTCGTAGTGCTCGGGGCCCACGATGTTGGGGTCCATGATGCGGGAGGTGGAGTCCAGGGGGTCCACGGCCGGGTAGATGCCCAGCTCAGCGATGGCACGGGACAGCACCGTGGTGGCATCCAAGTGGGCGAAGGTGGTGGCAGGGGCAGGGTCAGTCAGGTCATCGGCGGGCACGTAGATGGCCTGGGGGGGAAGGGAGGGGACGGTGGGCCCCAAGCAGGTGATGTGGTCTCTCCCAGGGACCCCCCTGGGCCCTGCCCTCACCTGCACTGAGGTGATGGAGCCCTTGCGGGTGGTGGTGATCCGCTCCTGCATGGTGCCCATGTCAGTGGCCAGCGTGGGCTGGTAGCCCACGGCCGAGGGGATTCTGCCCAGCAGGGCCGACACCTGCGCGGGGACAGAGCGTGAGGGGGCTGTGCCAGCGCGGGGCAGGGGCACCCCCCGTGCCCAGCACGGACCTCGGAGCCGGCCTGGGTGAAGCGGAAGATGTTGTCGATGAAGAGCAGCACGTCCTGACCCTCCTGGTCCCTGAAGTACTCGGCCACCGTCAGCCCCGTCAGGGCCACCCTGGCGCGGGCGCCCGGGGGCTCGTTCATCTGCCCGTAGACCAGGGCGACCTGCGGGTGTGGGATGGTGCCCCAGGTCAGCACGGTGTCCCTCTGGCACCCCCTGCATCCCCCCACCACCTCCCCAAGGGACCCAGCTCCCCCCGGGGGACCCTGCACACCCCTTGGAAGTGGCATCTTTCAGGTTGATGACCCCAGACTCGATCATCTCGTGGTACAGGTCGTTGCCCTCGCGGGTCCTCTCGCCCACGCCGGCGAACACCGAGTAACCACCGTGGGCCTTGGCCACGTTGTTGATCAGCTCCATGATCAGCACGGTCTTGCCGACGCCAGCACCTCCAAACAAACCTGGGAGGGGGGAACGGGGGTCCTGCTCAGCCCCGAGCCAGCCCAGCTGCCCCCCGGGTCTCCCTTCAGCCCTTTCCTCCTCAGATGGAAAAAAGCGTTGCTTCAGCAAGCTCAGGAGAACAAAAGTCAAGGAGTGGATCATCAGCGAAGGAAAGTGTCCCAGGGGGACCATCAGGAGCTTTAAGGGGGCTGGCAGATGCCCCCCTTCCCAGACCCCCCTCCCACTCCGGGGGTCACGTACCGATCTTGCCGCCCTTGGCGTAGGGGGCCAGCAGATCCACCACCTTGATCCCCGTCACCAGGATCTCCTGCTCGACGCTCATCTCCACGAACTCAGGGGCCTCGGCGTGGATAGCAGCAAACCTGGAGTGGGAGAGGGACAGGAAGGGGCTGAGCAGCTGCCCCAAACCCCCAGGAGAGCAGGATCCCCCCCTGCTCACACCCGCACGGCCGCAGCACTCACTGTTTGGTTGTGATGGGGCCCCTCTCGTCGATGGGCTCCCCGATGACGTTCATGATCCTGCCCAGGGTCTCGGGGCCCACGGGGATGCGGATGGGAGCACCCGAGTCCAGCACCTTCTGCCCCCTGACCAGCCCCTCGGTGCCGTCCATGGCGATGGTGCGCACGGTGTTCTCCCCTGGCCAAGGACAGCACGGTCACCGCAGCGTCCTCGGGCTCACCCCGGGCACAGCTGCCGGTGGCTTCCCCAGGTCCTGCCAAGGGGACGTTCAGCTGAGAGAAGGACGCAGGAATAAAACAGCCCAGAGGAAAACGAGAGCCCAGGCTGCGCTCCAGCTGCAGCCCCGCAGCCGCAGCCCTCGAGGGCAGCCATTTTCCTCCTCCTCAGATTGAAATCCGTGGCTTCAGCAAGCTCAGGAGAACGAAAGTCATTGGAAACATCATCACAGGAGGACATTCCCCCCACCCCCGTCCCCTCCGTCCCTGGTGCCAAGCGCTCACCCAGGTGTTGAGCCACCTCCAGCACCAGCCGGGTCTCCCTGCCCTGCACCTCCAGGGCGTTCAGGATGGGGGGCAGCCCCTCGTCGAACTGCACGTCCACCACGGCCCCGATGACGGCCACGATGCGGCCGGTGGTGGAGCCGGCCTTGGCGGCGGGGGCCGCCTGGGCCGCATAGTCCCGGCCTGAGGGGAGAGGGACGGGTCAAGGTCGGGGAAGGGCAGCGCCGGTGCCTCGGGGGCGCGGGGACGGGGCTCCCCCGCGGGTCTGGGGGTGTGCCCGAGACCCCTGGATTCCCCCGTGAAATCAGGACCCCCTGAGCGCCCCTCGGTGCAGCCAGGACCCCTCTACCCTCCTCGGTGCGCCTGGGACCCCGCGAAACCCCTCGTCCGATACACCCGGGGCCCCCCGATCGCTCCTCCGTGCACGCTGGACCCCTCAGTGCGCCCAGGAGCTCCTCCCTCGATGCACCCACGACCCCCGGAACCCCCAGAGCCGCTCCCCCATGACCGCACGACATACACCCCTCCCGTCCCCGCTAACGGGGACCCGCAGCCCCCGCGCCCCCCCCCCCCACGCCCCCGGCCCGCTCAGGCCCCAAGGTGACCCCGCCTCGTCCCGCACTCACGCGCCCCGAGGGCGGCGGAGGCCGGGGCGGCCCCGCGGCCGAGGAGCAGCGGGAGGAGGTCACGGCCCGGGGCGGCCCCGCGGGGCAGCAGCGGCCGGGCCGCGGCGGCGGCGGCGGCGGCGGCGGAACGACCCGCGAGCCCCAACATGGCGGCGCCGACTGATCCGCGGGTCCCGCCCGCCCCTCACGGCGCTCGCGGGGCGGGGCCCCGGCGCGCCCCCGTCTCGCCCATTGGCCGCCGCGCCGGCAGAGCCCGCGCTGCCATTGGCCGCGCTGAGGCGGCGCCCGCTCCGCGCCTCCTCGCGATTGGGTTTTGGAGCCGTTCGTCAAGCCCCGCTGCGGGTTGATAGGGTGAGGCGGAGAGGAAGAGGCGGGGCCCGGGCGAAGGTCGCCGGAAGCGGCGGCGCACGTGGCCGTGCTTGTCCTTGGGCGGGCGCCGTGACCGCGACGGGGCCGCGCTGGGCCCGAGACCGCCCGGCGGTCACCGCACCGGGCCCGGGGGTCACCGCACCGCCCCGAGGGGCTGCCCCGCACTGGGCAGGCCCCGCACTCCCCGTTGTCTCCCGCAGGGGAAAAGCCCCACCCCACCGGCTCCCCACGAGAAGGGAACCCGCCCCCCGGGGGAGCAGAGCCCACCGCACCAGCCCCCAGCTGCCCTTCCACCAGGAGCAGGGATCCTCCCCGGGAGAAGAACCCACCCCACGGGCCCTGCTGCCCCCCCCCCCCGGGGGGGTCTCTCCCCCCCCCCCCCCCCCTGGGAAAGGGGCCCCCCCCCTGCCCCCAGAGGAGGGGGTCCCACCCCACTGTCCCCCCCGGAGGGAGGACTCCCCTGCCCCTGCCGCGGTGAGGAATGCACAAGGCCCAGGCCGAAGGGAGAGCCAGGGGAGTCTTCAACAGTTTATTAGAAAGAATGCAGACATTAAAAAAATCCCAGCTGCTCTGAACATAAATTGAGGTTTCTCAGCCCGGTCGCAGGCCCCACGGTCTGTCACTCGCTGCCAAACCCACAGTGCAAATACGATTTGGTCTAAATGTACAGATTGACAAAGCAAACAATGTACAGCCACTCACCCCGGGCGAGGAGGGGGGAGGTCTGGGGGGGGTCACACGGAACCAGGGACAGGCTCCGGCCACCGGCACCGCTCGGGGGCTCGGGGGGGGCCCAACACCAAACGAGGAGAAGTTTTAGGTTTTTCCTTTTCAATACGAACTTTAAGTGGAACAGACCTGAAGACACCACAGAGGGATGTTGCCTCGCCTGCTTGAATTTGGGGAGCCAATGACAACAAGTTTTGTTCCCGGTACAAACGGACAATTTCAGGCCGTGGAGGAGGAAAGAGGGGGGGAAAAAAATGCTCAACCATTTGGTGTAAATTCAGGGGTTCTCCCATTGTAATTACATCTGCTACGAGGCAAGGAGGCTCTGTAAACTTTATTGCAACTGTTCTGTACGGATTGCCTACACCTCAATTGGGGGGTTGGTTTGTCTTTTTTTTGGAAGTCTGGAAAACGGTTCATGCATAACGTTATTGCCTCTCGTGGCTTAAGACCGCCCCGTGCCATGGGACACACCTACCATCAGTGAAGCCATTTAAAATGGACTGAAAATGGGTTAAAGGATGCAGGATCTCCCTTTAGGGCTATCAACTCAGGAATTCTTATCTCAATTATGAAATGTTGTGATGAAGTTCTTTCCCCAAAACCCTGAAGACGACAGTTTTCCTTACTCCAGATCCGGCATTTCTAGAGAGAGAGAGAGAGAGAAAAGAGAATTGTTTCAGGGCTGGTTTGTGGGGTAATGTGGGGTTTTTTTTTAGTTATTTGTTTTTCTAAAAGCTACCAGAGCCCCATTATGTCACAAGGGACACGAGCAAGACGACCTGGCCCTCGACCAAGGAGGGCACAGAGCAGTTTGGGGCCTCTTCCCAAGGGAGATCTGTGCCAGAGCCACCCCAAGCATGTGCTGCTCCTGAAGCCTCAGCCCCTCCCTGGGACTGCAGCTGCCTGGGAAGGTCAAAGTGGTGTTTGGGGCTTGTGTGGAGAGGCTTTCCCAGATTAGGCTGTCTCCCAGCACTGGCTTCATCTCCTGCCAGGACTCGGTGGGACGGACGGGGGGAACATCTGCCGGCCCTGCCCGAGGCCTTCAGCAGCTGTGTCAGGGGAAAACAACAACTTACTTTCATCATCACTGTCTGGTGAGTCCTGCAAAGGAAAAGAAACAACATTAAGTGGAGCAGATGGCCCTGAAAGCGCCTTTCCTCTACCACCACCCCCCAGGAACGAGCTGCTGCTCCCAAATCCAGCGGGAAGCTGGATCCCCTTTGGGCAGAGCAGGGATTTTGAGGAACTCCGGGTTCCACAGGACTCAGCGAGCTCAGTTTGGCCTCTGCAGAGCCCACAGACCCACAACAACCCCCAGTCACTGCAGAGAGACCCAGACTCCAAACTGCAAGGTGCCCCCACTGGCCTCAGCGCTGCTGAGAGGGAGGGAGGCGACTTCCCCAGGTGACATCACCCGTCCAAACAAGGTTTGGGGCTATTTAACCCTTCTGCAGTGCTGAAGAGGGGAGCACAAGACTTCTTAACCAGCCCTGCCCGTGTTTACTCCAACCACATACTCACATCATCTGCCCCATCTACTTCTGGCAAATCTACGTCGTCGTCTCCACCCATGTTGTTCATCATCTGCTCAGAGACAGAACAGCCACGAGTCGAGGGGAATCCAACCCCATTCTCCTCCCAAAACCAGCCTGAAATGGCTCTAAACCAACAGCCCCCAGCTGCTTTGACAGGGCAAGGTAAGGATGCAAGAAAATCTGGGATTAATCGCCCTGCAAACCCCGAACCCCAGGAATTCCTCACCCCCTACCTCGGAAAAGCGATCGAAATTGGACATGTCTTCATCTGAATCATCTTCCCAGTCTTTCCAGTTGTTGAAGTCCACGCTGAGCCAGTTGAGCTGCACCAACACAAGGAGTTACTTAAGGACAAGGAATCCTTTAAGGACAAGGAAGTTCCCGGCTGTCAGTCAGAGCAGGTTAACGAGAGCTGCCGCCCGATTGGGAGCAGGAAAAGTGACCCAAAACTGCTCCAGAATTCAAACATGACCCAAATATGCACTAAATTAAAAGCCAGGGGGGGCAGCAGGTGCCCAAACCCACCTTTGCCCTCTCTTTTGTTAACCTTGGCCATGCCTGACCAGACTCTCCTTTTCGTAAACAACATAAGATGGATCTGTCTGTTCTTTTATGCTTTGATTCCTGAAAAAGAGCAAATACCCATTAGTACCATCAGGATGAGCTTCACCACCAACTGCTGACATCCCTCAGCTGTCTTAAACCTCTCCACTTATTCTTTATCCTGAAAAACACTTCAGGATAAAATACTCTGTCCTGAAAAACAATTCCATGGATCTGAGCTCAAGCATATTCTTACAGGTTAAGGGACTCTTTGCCCCAAAATCCCAGGAGCAGCCTAAAGAACAGATGGGATTTTTCAGGATCACAGAACTCCAGAATGGTTTGGGTTAAAGATCAGCCCACTCCACCTCCTGGCCCTGGGCAGGAACAGCTTCCACTAGACCAGGCTGGTCCAAGTCCCACCCAACCCAGCCCTGAACTCTTCCAGGGATGGAACATCCACAGTTCCAGCACCAAGAACACCCAAGAGGAGCCTCAGGATACTCACATTTGGATCGATATTATTAAAAAGGTCGATTTCGTTTAAATGTTTAAAGTTATCACTTCCTCCAAGACAACTGCAAAGAGGAAAAAGAAGTTGGTGTTTAGCCCAGGACATGTCGTGGAACAAAATCTGCTTCTCCTCAGCCCTCGGGGACCTCCCTGTGCCCGAGTTACTCACCTGAACGTGAGTTTGGACTTTTCAAAATTTACATTAACATCTTTGCTGTCTTCGACACAGAACTCGATAAAGACGTAGTCCCTCCGGTCGTACCACTTGGCAGAGGCAGGCTGCCTGTGGGCACAGCAGGGTTGGGCATTTCAGCAACAAATTCAACTAAAAACCTCCCTCCTGCCTTCAAAACCTGCATTTCGAGCTCATCATTCATCTTTAAAGCTGCTCAAGGATGAACAAAGATGATGTGAATAAAAGAAATGATGCATTCAGTGCGTAACACCCCCAAGAGCTCCTGGGAGGAGCCACTGGAATCTGAGAGGCTGAAATAAATGTTTCAGCAGATCAAAATTGTGATAAACTTTAAGATGAGCTACTGCAGACGAGGCAGAAGCTCCACCACCTCCCACAGCTGCCTGGGCAGATTTCAGGGTGGTTTTTGCCACCCTAAGAGTTAAAACCAAGCCCAAGCAAAAACACTGAGAAAACCTCTTTTTTGGGCACTGACACTATTAAAAAATAGATTTCCTGTGATGGAGACCCAGCTGGTGTCAGCACAGGTACGAGAGCTGGAGAATCCTTGCTCCAAACTCTTCCTAGAACCTCCTGCACACTCACACTGGAACTCCCACACACTTTGGAACTCTCCTCCCTTTCCAAAACCACCACAATAGGTAACAGCACGTCCAGGGCAGCTCTGGTGTTTGCAGTTCCACCTGAGGACTCACCTGCAACGCTCTGGCCGCGCTCAGTGGACTGGGGAGAGAGACCCAGCAGGGCCTGGACACCCTCCTCCCCCCTCCAGTTATTCCCTGGCAACTGTGGCCCAGCCCAGGGAACGCCTGCATTCCAGGGGAACCAAAGAGCCTCCCAGCAGGGCTGTTGCTAAGGCACAGAGGCCACGGGTGTTCCTCACACTCCTCTGTCTTCCTGAGATCACAGAATCATGGAATGGGTTGGGAGGGATCTCAGAACTCATCCCTCTGGGCTCAGTGCTGCTCTACAAGCACAATTATTAACTTTTCAGACCATTTATTAAGGTGACCTTTGCTAAACTGTCAGGTCAGATTTTGACTCACCTGATCATCAATTGATTAATTCTTGGCATTGAGCTGTGGCACATTTAGGGAGGTGACTCACGTTCCCCAAACGTTCCTACCTGCTCCCATCCACACGTCCTCAGGATGAACCACAGCAGGGCCCAGCCCAGCCCCAGCTGAACCCCAAACCAGCCAGCTCTGAGCTCCCCCAGTGCCACGGGGACTGGGACACACTGGTGCCAGCCCAGGGAAAGGCTGGGACAGCAGCCACGATGCCTCTGGCAGCCCCAACACTCTTGTGGGTGCAGGAACACCTGGTCAGAGGCCAACATGCAAGGATTTAACTCCCAAGAACACAGAAACAAGAGCTTTCTGAATTCAACCTCGAGTTTCAGCAAAATGCTGTTCCAGGAGAGAAAACCTGACGCTTCCCCTTGCGGCTGCATTTCAGGGAATGTTAATTATCACCTTGCTCAGGTGAAGTGCAGCAGCACAGCAGGAGTTCTCTTACTGGGGTATTTTTAATTCCTTCTTGGGCACAAGGATCCTCTTCTAACAGGGAATGAAAGACTCTCAGAGGAAAAGAGCAGGAGAAACGCCCCACTCTGTTCCCTCTGTGTGGGGAGACAAAACCCCAGCGTGGGACCCTGGGGGAGTCACTCCAGCCCCGTTATCCAACAGAAATCTCAGTGTCCCTGCCCGGGTGACGCAGGGGCTGAGCAGTGTTAACACTTCCCAGTTCTCAATGTCAATGGAGACATCTCCAGCCTTCCCAGGGAGCCACACACATCCCGGCTCTCGGCCGTGACCTCGGGATCTCCGCCCAGAGCGGGGGTTTGAGGCACAGAACTCACAGCACGTCCAAAAATCTCGCTCAGCTCAAGGAAAACACACACACACACCCGAGCTGGAGAGGAATGAGATCCCAAACAGATTTGGCTCGGCCATAATTCACGTTTCTGACCCCAAACCTGCGCCGCTTCCCCAGGAATTCAGCGCCGGCCGCCCTGAGCCGCCATTCCAGAGCTGCCTCTCCTTCTTTTATCTGCTCTTCCCATCTCGCCCTCCCGAAGGGAGGAGGGGAAAACCTCCCCCTGAGCCTCGGTCAGAACTCCCCGTCCCAACCAGTCGCGCAGGACGCGCCGGAGCTGCCGCCCAGAGCCGGGACCGGGCGGAAGCCGCAGCTCGTTCGAGTCTCCTGCCCACACGGAGATTCCCAGGAGACAAACCACACACAGCAGCCCCTGCACGTGCTCCCGGCGCTCCAGAGCCGTTCCCACACCCCCACGGAACCGTCTCCTCCTCTCCCAGGCGCTGGAGCACCGCCAGGACCCGGGAGCAGGGTCACCTGTTGCACAGAGTTCTGTCCCCGCCGAGCCTCGGCCTCCTGCCAAGGGGGGGCTCCGGTTGTCCCTGAGCCACGGGACCGAGTTCTTTGGGAAGGAGGAGGTGACTCCAACGTGCTCCCTCCCTCCCGTGTGCTTCCCGGGGGACGAGGCGCCGTGTCCCACTCCAGAGGGTTTCCTCTGTCCCCTCCACCCGCGTTCTGGGGACTTCCCGAGCTCCTCTGGCTCTTCCAGGCGCCACATTCCGACGACAATTGTGATTCCAGCAGGGTGGAACAGGTTCTAGAAACTTCCCAGCAGCACTGACGGGCAACGTGGAGGCTCAGCTTCACCCCAGAGCCCTCGTGGCTCTGCCTGATCCACGGTGGCTCCATGGGGGCTGCGCTTCCAGCCTGGATATCCCTGGATATCCCTGTCTCTGGCACAGCAGCAGCTTCTGACCCGCTGAACTCACGAGTGGAATCTCAGATCTCACTGTTCGCGGCGATTCAGGAAGTTTCCAAACCTGTCCTGGTATCCTGTGCCTATGGAATCCTGCCTTTGTTTCCTGGGAGCATCCTGGGAGCTCCCACAGCCCGAGGACACTGCAGGAGTCAGATTCCCAACAGGATTTACCCCCCAGACAGCAACAAAACCTGTTTTACTGAATTAGTTTTCTTTCCACTTATAAACCCCGGAAAGGTGCTTTCTTAATTAAAAAAAAGCCTCATTTTAGATTTTAGACGACTCCACGCAGAGGGAGCAGCGCTGCAGTTTCAGGATGATGAACTTTACAGAAATTAAACGAAAAAAGTCCAACTTTATCACGTCCCTCTCGCTTTCAGTCACGTTAGGATGAAGCAGCTCCACCATGGGGGGTTTCAGAACACAAGGAAACGCCTGACTGGGGACAAGGGACCAAAAGCCACCAGTCCCCGAGGGGTAACTCTGTCCTCAGACCAAATTCCTGACAAAATAAAACCTCAGCAAGTGCTACAACCTCCAGACATTCCAGCCAGACACGTGGAGGTCACGGAACCACGGAATGGCCTGGGCTGGAAGGGACCATAACTCTCATCCCATTCCACCCCCTGCCATGGGCAGGGACACCTTCCACTAGCCCAGGTTGCTCCAAGCCCCGTCCAGCCTGGCCTCGGACACTTCCAGGGATGGGGCAGCCCCTGGGAAATCCATTCCAGCGCTTCACCACCCGAACAGGGAGGAATTTCAAACAGGGAGGAATTTCTTCCCGGTATCCCACCCACCCCTGCCCTCTGGCAGTCTGAAGCCATTCCCCCTCGTCCCGCCGCTGGAGGTGTGGGAATGGCAGCTCCGGGGGCAGCGCAGCCCTTCCCTCCGCGGCCACATTTCCTTCTTAAAAGTCGGTCCCGCACGTGAAAAACTCCATCTCGTCTTCCCCGGCGCGTTCCGAGGGAACGCTCACACCGAGCCGGAGCTCTGCCGCGGGCAGGTCCCGCCGCTCTCGGGTGGCCGAAGCGGCCCCAGGAGGGCCCCGGGGAAGGCGGTGAATTGGGGCTCCCCGGGAGCGCGGGATCCCGCCCGGGATGCACGTGGAGCGGATCCAGCACGGGCAGCACCGGGGGGGTTCCGTGCCGGGCTCCTGCGCTTCCACCCGCTCCTGAGGGGCTTTCTCGCTGTTCCTCGGTCTTTCACGGAATCGTGGAACGGTCCGAGTTGGAAGGAGCCTTAAAAGTCCTCCCGTTGCACCCCTGCCACGGGCAGCGACACCTTCCAGCAGCCCGGGCTGCTCCGAGCGCCGTCCGGCCCGGCCTTGGGCATTCCAGGGACGGGGCAAAACCCGGCGGCGGGTTTTTAAGTGGAAAAGTGGAAGTTTGTAAACAAGATTCGCCCCTCTGCGCGCTCCGGGCGGCTCCACGCGCTACTTACCGGGAGTTTTTTCCGCCGTTTCGGCCGCTACCGACCGGCGGGTGCCCGGCGGCCACCGACCCCACCGGGCAACGCACACAACGACCCCCGGCACCCCCCGCCGCCCCATTCATTCGGCGCAGCCTCGGGCGGGGGCGGGACATCCCGCCCGCACCGCGGGGCTCCGGGGCCGCGCCGGTAAACCTACCCGCCCGGTAACCGGGGCCGGACCCGCCGCAGTTAAACCGGGGGCAAAAAACCAACCCGGGGGCAAAAAACCGACCGGGACGGGACCCGCCGGGGCCGCCCCAAGGTCAGCGCGCGGCTCGGAGCCCCCGCG